AAAATCAGAACTATTATGCCTCTAGCATGAGCTGTGTTGATTTTATTGTGTTGAGGTGCCAAAAAAACACGCCAAGGCCATATATTTATATGGGATGTAGCCGAATCTCCAAATTGCTCTACTTCTAGCTCATGTACTTTCTTTCATATCTGACCTGGGAGAGTGCCCTTTTGGATATATTAAAGTTGATACCCAAAGTCTTACTCTATAGAGTCTTGTTGCTTTCTGATTGCAATTGGGATGTGTGTTTTCATTCTAATTTTGGTGTACTTTTGGTTGCCTGCCTTCACTTTTTACCTCGCGCTGTACATATCGCGTATATTTCCATCCAACCAACCTCGTCTGTATATATTTCTTTTATTTCTTTCTGTCATGCGAGAGTCTATTTCGTCTATTTTCCTTATTCATTCTTTTCTATAAAAAAAAAGGCTATGATAGATCCTCTAGATAATACCATCGTACCAATGCATTCAAAGTGATACCTACCCCCTTTGTCATATATAACGTGGAATCCGACTCCGACTCTCCCACTTGGCATCTTACGTATACCTTTGCAATTGCCGGCGCCGTCACAACTGTTTCTCGCACACGACATAGCTTCTCTTGTCCACACCTACCAGAGTATATGCGTTCCTCTCCGCCCAGTAGGCTTTTTCCTCCGGCGATGCGAGTTGGCGGCTTTTTCATCCCAATGCTGTTGCTGTTTGGAGTCGTGGGAGTTGTTGGCGCCTCACTTTGCAACTGCTGGATCCCTGTTCCTGTTAAAGAAACTGACTAATGACTAATAAGCATGTTTCCATTTCCCTAAATCTCTTTATCACCTTAGGATATCTTCTTATATTCTTTTGTTTCACTTTGTCTCCTTTATCATGCCATTCTCTCGCATAGACTTCGCATTTATTATTAGTAGATATATATGTAGCCATAAGACTAAGAGGTCTTCTTTTATAAAGAAAGCCATGTTCCATAATAAATATATCATAGACTACTTGTATCAATCGCTATCACCCACCGCCATATACCACGGGCTACATGCAATTAATGAATTAAACAAAAAAAAAATTCGTTATCACCTCTTTTGATGATCACAAATCGTACCCAACTCGGCAGCAACAACCCCACATGCACCGGCAGTCTCGGCAGCCTCAAATAAACAATTTGAGGGTTTTTTGTTTGTTTTGTTTAACTCATTAATTAAATAACAATTTGGAGGTTATCTGTACTAGTACTGCAACTAATTTTTTTTCTCGCAGAAAATAGTATAGTTATACGTTAGTTATCTAAACTATATAGTCTTCCTCCATCGTCACCAGGAACGTTTTCAATTGGTTGCTTACTATTTCTAATATTGATTACATATATATCATTACACAAGTAGACAAAGAACTACTCCCGGGATGGAAGGGAACTGGCATTAAAAGGCGTGTAGCTATAGTAATGGATAGATATGAAAGAACAAACACCGACAGAACTGCAGCTGTATTCTTACATACTTATCAAAGTCGAATTTCCCTGATAGCATTTTATCATCAACTACACTTGCATACTAAAGCTACTCATTGAATGACTTAGAGTGCATACTAGAGCTAATAAATCACAGATTTCCTATAAGGAGAGATGGAAATGGGGTTTAGTGCGTGCCTGTAGGTTTGTACGACCAAATAATCCAGAATGACAACAATAATCTAAGAAACTACTATCGCAGTGCTGCCCGCGCTGGCGCCCTCATTTCCTCACGACATTTGGACGGCCAGAGGCCGCACTCCGCTTGTATATTTATAAAGCTGCAATCTTGAATTGTAAGTGAAGTCATGAGTTTATTGGGTGTCGTTCTAGGAAAACCGTCCGCACAGCCAAATCCTGATTCCGACGAACCAAACAACCGATAAACTCCAAATTTTCATAAAGCTCAGAGGACCTTGGTGAAAGCCCAGAATTAATTTTTCTGACATTGGTTCCATAGATTGGAGCCTGTAGAGTGCGGTAGCAAACTGGTGAGGCCTTGTTGCGTTGCCACACAGGTACCTTTTCCTAGAACGACACCCATATATATTTATTTTCGTTAAGGTCGTGAGGTTATTCGTAAACATACATCGTAAGCCATAAAGTAGTTTACTCAGATGTGTGGAATGAAAAGGAATATAGAAAAACGAAACATGCGTATAGACAAAGGAGAAAATATCCAAAAAGAGTCGTTCCCAGCGCCTTCCCCGTACGTTGGCTCCGCCACAACCCTAACCCATGTGTTATTATTGGTCCAACGTCATCCATGAACTTTGCGCAGGTCAGCTACATTACCGGGGGGGGTAGAGCGTCCTTCTTCTCAATCGCGACGTTATATCGTGACCCGCCGTGTTATTCGGTCCAAAACATCACCAATCCTCCATTTCACCGGTTTATTTCCATGAACGCCAGCAGTATAATAAACAACTGTATATTCCTTGACCACATTCCCACACGACGCACAAGGACAGCACTTTTCATAGTTTTTCAGTCTCAGCTTCTTGAGAATCCTCTTTTTCAGTCCTCTGATAGAGCTCTTCCGCTTAGGTTGATAGTAACCGATGGCCGATTCCGAATCATCATCAGCTTGATTATCTAGATCTGTGAGTAGGCTGGTAGCAGAGGTGGCGCTGAGAACAGATGTGGCGCTAGTGATCATGGTTGCGGCGGAGTGAGTAGTGAGGAGGTTATGGGGATGGTGGAGTTGACTTATAATTTAATCTCTTATTGTGACGGATTCAAGATAGCGGGTTGCATGGTGTGTTGGTTTCATGGCAGTTGAGTTTTCATGGTTGTGATCACGTGAGGGAAGGTCAATGAGAAGGACGCTGGTAAAAGAGGTGTCACACACGCGTCCCCAGCCTTGCGCAGCCATGTTTTCACCTCCCCTGATTCTCGAATATTTTCACTGGTAGCGGTGCAACACTGGGCATTGGCAAAGCGAATCAAACTGCCTTATATCTAGGTCAGTGCTGCTATTCGATAGATCGTAACTACTATACCGGTCTTCATTCATTCAGCTGGGGTTCTCAACCTAAGTTTTTCTTTTTTCTTTTTTATTCTCAAATCTTGTTCTCCTAAAATTGCTAACTCTAACTCACCAAAGCTTCTCAACTCCAAACGCTCACTCGAACTTTTCCTATTACATTTCGACTTTAGCAGGATTTACAGAATTTGTGCCGCCTAAAACCACCTTTACTGCCGCCGGCACCATAACTTCCACGATTCCCGTTCGATATCCGGCACGAGTTCCCTCACCATCAGGAATCCCCACTCCATCACGATTTCCCCCCACCACAACTCCCCTCCCTACCCCTCTTCTTTACATTACTCCCTCCGGCCGCTCTCCCACTTCTACCATCCGCTCCCCCATGGCCAGAATTCTCATCTTCTTTCACCTCAAAAAGATATCTCCCAATCTCGATCCTCTTCCCCCCACCCCCAGCGTCCCCAGCATCCTCGGCGTCCCCACCCCCACACCCAATACCCCACGGCCTAGTCATGACGTCTCCAACGCTCTTCGCTACCTTATCAAGTTTTCCAATATTCATCTTAGCCGACACCCTTCTCATGGCCAACCCAAAAGCGCCTTTCTGTTCCTTCTTCCCATACCCAGTCTCTTCGCGGTACTCATGTTCTTCGGGCGGAACCTCCTGCATCATGCTCGAGGTACAAGCGCTCTCAATTGGCTCGGCTCTCTCTACTTTGATGGCCATACCTTCGGGAGGTGATGGTGTGAGCGCTGTTATTTGAATTGTTGGTGTACTGGTGTTCGTGGGGACGTCGGGGTATCTTATGAAGACCGAAACGACGGGGTGGCCTGGGAAGACTGGAATCGTGTGGGGGTGTAGTGTGTGATATGTAGATTGTGGTCCCGGGTCTTGGCATAGCACCCCAATATTGTTACTTCGTGTGTGTGCGTTGATCAAATTGTATTTTTGACTTGGTAAATTAGGTCGTACTTATATCAATTTTATGTCGAATGATAATATAGTCGATATGCTTTTCATACAGGTTATGTATCACAAACTCATGCACACCCTTGAATTCATAAATGGGCGCTTGATCGTGAACATTTCAAACATATATATCCGATTCGGTACGCTCGAAAATCAGTATTTAAAGCATACTTGAATTAGTACGAGTGATATATAATTAACCTCAATTGGCATGTCTAAAAGTGAGAGTAACAAATCCAAGTGCTTGAAATATCTAACTTGAATACTCGTAGATTGACTATTTCAGCCAACAGGCAATTATCAATATTGATCCTAAAAAAGAAAACAGTAAGTTCACTACCGTGAAATCGGCCAGTGAAATAAGCCTTACCTTGACCTTACTGAACCCTTAGCGGGACTATAAGTACATACTAAGCACAAGTACTTTTGTGGTGAATACGCTCCTTATAACCCAATAATTCGTGGTAAGATTTATGTCAGGCTAGTAAACGGGCCGCATCCCGAAGGGTCTATAGAAGAGATATTACCAATAGATCGACGCCAAAAGTCATTTAGTCCATCCATATACATGTTTCCCAAGACCATGGAAGCCTTCTCCCAATCTATTGATGCTCAAACCCGGAAAAGCACCTCGAGTGATATTTCATGATTGTGAAGCAACGACTTCGACTGATCTTATTTGATAGAAAAATATGTATATACCCATGTTATTCTACTTAAATAGGTTCAAATTCTGAAATGCCATTCCTGTTGATATGGTGAATCAGGCTGTGGAGCGGATCGCCAAGTGGACCTAGAATCAAGAAGCTCACTCACTTTCCCCGGATCCGCACAACACATGGCCGGGTTCATGCATACATGTGCAATACATAGAGGCGTCTATTACTGCCTATATAACCATATACTGAGAGTGCTATAGATGTTTGATATGGACCCATTGCTTGAAATATTTTGGGTGACCTGTTATGTATCACAAATCACCCCAGATAGTATAAGTGACGCCCAAAATGTTTTCAAAAGGAAACCGCAACAAAAGACTGGACGGACCGGGGATTGAACCCGGGACCTCCTCAACTTTCAATGTTACCATTGCAAATGAGGCGTCATACCACTAGACCATACGCCCGTAACCTTATGGACAGAATAGGATATATATGTTATTTAAAACCTTAAGGTTCCTTAATACCAGGTCATGAAGGTTTCTGTAGCATCTACCTGGTAAAATCGAGTTCAAATCACTGTTTTGGGGGGTTCGCGGGGTAGGATATCATACTGCATACTTGTTTTAGATCGGTCTGACCTATGCTAGGTATAAAATAGAAGTTTATACTAGTAGAGATCTTAAAACCACAACTCAAGGAACTCCTAACATGCAGTGTACCTGAAAATACCCGCATTTATCTGTACGTGTTATATAAGGGGTACAAGTACTGAGACGACATATTTAGTATCAATGCATTTGACATGTGAGTACTACGTGTAGTAAGGGTCGAGTTCCAATCCCGCATCACATGTCCAACAACACTTAAGAAACAAGATTTGAAAGTTATTTGTAGATGGACGAGTGCAAAAACGGCTTCATAGTTGTCTAGATGGCGGAGATGGTGTAGTGATATGGGGGTTATTGGCACAGAAAGCTCTCACATCCTAAATTCGCTACTAAGAACTGGACGGTCCATTTCTTGCTTTTACTCTTCGAACTTGCTCATGCTAAGAATAGTTTAAGTTTGGATTTTTGTTTCTCATCTATCCCGCTTTCATTCAGTACTTGCTCAACCCTGCCAATCAACATTCTCTCTCACTATCTTTAATAACAGATAATCTTAGGGGAGATGCATAGCGATGCAGAAAGTTCAGAAGTAGAGGGATAATCAGAATAGTAATAAACACTTTGTGCCCACATCGTCTCGTCTTTTCACATCGCCCATGGTCCAAAGTCTGTCTCCCTAACATCACGCAAGGTCATTAAGCTTTGAAGAGTATCTTGTGCAGAGTTATCACTCCAGCCCACACTTTCAGCTAGCCCTTGTGTATCTTTTTCGCCCTCGCTATCATCTGCTGATGTAATTCCCGAGGTATAAACTGTACTGAGAACATCACCATGCTGTTTGATTCCGAACCGGTCATCCAATGGCGGTCTGACGTAGACAGGACTGTTTTGCTTGGATCTCATAGATCGTCGCTTTATGCTTCCACTGCTGAAACCTCTCTGACGGAGTCTCATTTCAAGCCAAATACGTTGTGCTTCATCCGCCGGTTCCATATCATCCGGGAGTTCTGTTTCCGGGGATGAGTCGATACCGGCAATGAATGGTGCTCTGTCCTCATTTCTTAGTTCTCTACTTCCGCGGTATCGACAATCGAGATCCACAGGCGTGACCGGTAGTGTCTGCAAAGAAATACCCGTTGGTTTATCGGGAAATGTTTGGGGGCTCGATAACCAGGCTGCACCACAGTCCCACCCAGTCCCCGCAAGGTCGTAGCTATCTCTCTTATTCTCGGTATCATAGCTTATGCTGTACCCGGAACCGTTTGACTCTCTTGTATCTCTGAATTTCTTCTCGACCCTTTCTCTGTATTCAAGCTCCCTCGATATATCAGTAAGGTCGATACCCCATGTCGGCGTCCCATTCGTTATCTCTTGTACTGCCTTTATTGCCTGGGTTGGGTTACTATGCATACTAGCTACACGTTGAATCAAGACCTTTTTGACGTAGTCTTTTGCAGTCATGGGTGAGATCGGTGGCGATTCCTGTTTATCAACAAGCTTATTCCCTGTGGGAGAGAACCTCCATAATGAGTCCTCGGTAAATCGAGAAACCTCTACGTGACGCTCGGTAGAGAACGTTGTTGACTCAGAGAAGTTTGTATGGCGGTAGGTAGCCCTGACAGTCAAAAGACGAGTCTGTAGTTCTCCAAGAGTTGCCTCCAGCTGTCTCTCAAGATGTAACCACCGGGGTGAAGCCTCGTCTTCACAGCAATTCACAATATCAGGCAGTGTAATGTCGCCGATGTGAACTTGCACTAACAGAGTTCTCTTCTCTCCTGGAAGGAATTTTGGAAACCGCACTTCTCCCATCACCGCTCGCACTGCGCAGTTTTCCCCGGGAATAAGGTCGATTACAACATCGTATAGAATGCCGAGATCAACTGCTATCCTCAAGAGGCGGATCATCTCTTCAACCTTTATCTCTTTCTTTACTTCCTTGTCCTTTTCTTTGTACGTACTTAATCGTTTGTCTTCTAGATTGGGACGTGGCCCCAGTGTTGCAGTTGGAACACACCATCCTGAAGCTCCCATCTCACTTCTTGGCCAAAATAGAGGCCCAATACCAATGACGTGAATTTGTATCTCGCCAAAGAATACCTCAGGGACCAGTTCTATTTCACCGTCATCCAATCTTGTTGTCAACAAAAATAGATGGGCATGCCTGCGTGTTCCGTAGCGTGTTGTGTCTAGGGGCATCCCTTTTAACTTCATTATCGAAGCGTGGATCGCAGAGCGGACATTTCTTGACACGGGGTCACTGCACCATTTATTCTGTGCGAGTGCTGCAATGTCATCAATAAGCTGTCTTTTCGCAATACTTCCGGAGGAGTTCAGCACTTGTACTGTATCCGGCCTTACTGCCGTGATTCCTGTGATTGATGATCCGCTAGGAAAGGTCATAACAGCAACCCTATCCCGCGATGTTTCCATTGCTTCAACGAGTTTCTTGGCGTGAATCTTCATACTCGCAAATGATGCACTCGATGTATACGCACTTTAAACAATTAGTGGGTGACCGGCCCTACGCCCTAAATAAAAGGAGTGCCTCACGAGGTATCGATCAGAATTCCTACATCCAGTCCTACTTTGCTTCCTTGAAACCCTTCGGCGCCGCCGTCGACGGAAGCATCTAGCTCTACTGATATCCAGGTTCCCTTCTCAGTTCCTTGCGACCCCGGGTAGGATATTGGCACTTTTTCCGTCTCAGAGACGACCTCCATTTGAAGTTGTAACACCGGAGGCTTCCATTGGCCTGTTTTCTTTAATTTGGTCCGAGTCATACCACCGGCACTTCCTTCGAATATGCCGAGAACACTATCATTAAAGTTCCCTTTATTTCCTTGCCCCAAGAAATTCCCGGTGTTGTTACTGTCACCATTAATGTCCCAGTGCGCCCTGCTGATGTCATTTGCTTTCCTCGAGGTCCTTGGCTCGCACCAGCTCTGGCTGGTTTTCAAAAGAACACGGTTCACCGAGGTCGACTTTTCTGCATCGTTTAATGGCCCCGCAAGTACTGTATCTTTTGTTGTTGTTGCCATTGTTGCAGAAGAGCCACTACTACTTCTTTCTTTTACTTTTGTTTTCGTTTCTTTCTTGGTAACATTTGCCCCACCACCACCCACGCGAGTGAAAAATTCCCTCGAGAAAACCTTATCCTTCCATCCCTTCGAAGCAATTTTTTCGATTGGTTCAGATGAAGCATTTGCTGACTTTGAATCTACCTGTTTCTTAGATCCATGTGCTCCTGTGCTTGAGGCCCTGCGCAGCTTGAATCCTTTTTTCCCATGTTGTACAACATCTGTCCCGATCTGAACTGGTGAGTTTTCAATTTTCACTTCTGCTGACCCATAAGAACGTGTTCTATATGAACTCCCGGCCGTTGCATCTCCGCTGCTATTCCGACTTCCTGGCTCTGTCGGAGAGTGGTGTGTGGGGGCCGTCACATAGCCAGACTCCGGGGTCGGTGTGTAATCGAGAGAGTTTCGAGTTGAAGAATCATGAGAACCGGTAGTAGGTGTACTGCCGGGCTGTCGAGAATTCCGTGGTCTCTGCAACCATGCCATACCTGCACCAGGAAGGTCTCTTTTTTTATCTGTCTTGGCAGTAGAGGATCTTCGTAAAGTCTCTTTCCCAGTTTTTTTGTTAACATTATTTTTATCTATTAGCAAAACACCCGTGGAGCTGCTACGTTGCTTTGGTTGCGGTGGAAAAGTAACTCCTAGGAAGCTTCTTGATTGCGGCAGTGGCCGTCGAGGAAAGTGCACTTGTTTTCCCACAGGCAATGAAGGCGATTTTCGAAGTTTTCTGATGCTTAGCGGTCGAGGTGCCGGATCCGTATCTTCGGTCACCCTTTCAGCAAAGGCACGTGTTGGTAATTTGGCCCTGAAAGAATTGAGTGGTTGAAGGCCGAGAGGATGAAAATTGAGGTTCTGCATATGGGGTGCCCTTAGAACCGGAAGTGAAGGAGATTTATGCCTAAGAGGTGCCACATAAAGTGATTTCTGATAAACCGCCTCGGTAATAGCGGCTCGATGAGGTCTTTGGCCTGAAGGCATTATCTGTCATCTGATCAGCCTCCCGCTAACCTAGATCTCTGACCCAGTCAGCTATATATTGTGAATGGCTTCATACCAATTGATTTCCAAGTAATAATGCAAATTTGAATAAATATAAAGTACGAAAGCAGCACACAGATTGAAGAGACTGAAGAAGCAATACTCTTGGGCGCACAAACTGTTGCTGATTCGGGCAGTTCGATGGAACTAGCAACAGAATGAATGATGGAAATAACCTGAAGAAAAACGGCAGGAGGTGTGCACGTGTACTACATAAAACAGTACAGAAGATGCTACGTAGCGCATGGCGGATTATTTAGAGCAAGAGTCGAAGTATATACCCACATGTACGCCAATCTTATACGTGGTCGAGACCATATATGCATAAGGAACTGCATTTATGTGGCCAGCAAATTAACACCTTACGTCGGAACTTCATCTAATCCGGCCCTTTAACATCACTTCATGTCTACATTGCCCGCACTCGCCTACGCATAATACAAATTATCTATTATCCATCCATTAAAGGCAACGCTAAAAAGCACCCAAACGCGGGTCTCCATGTCTGAAACCTACAAACAGCACAAGGCACGCACTGAACCTGGAGCCGGTCCCTCAATCACTCCTATAAACAATACCAAATGTGTTTATGAGAAGGATAATGATGGTATGGGCACTATAACTACTATATCCCAAAGAGAAGGGCACGGTGGCTCAGGCGAAAGGCCATGTCTTGAGCGTGCCAGGTATCTACGGAACATCGTTCGCGGCCGAAACTCATCTGGCATGTCGGTATGGTAC